CAGCTGCAGAACTTCAACGCAGATCAGTGGAAACATTTCAACAACGCCATACCACACATCTTCAAGGTAAACTAAAAATATTGTGTTCAAAGTTAAGCTGTGAAATGGTGCCTTTTGAAATTTTGACTTTCTTGAAACTTTCTGTATTCCCATGGCAACAAGTTTGTCTGTTCCTGCTGTAAAAAAAGCGTTCTGTGTACAGGTTGTGGATGTGAAGGGATAAACTTGTTGTTATTACAGGATTGTAACCTGAACACTAAATCAACAAAATGATCACATGTTATATTCATCTAAAATAATACAAAAATATATGACTTACGTATACTGTGTACTTAGTCATCTCATTATAATGTTTGTGATTAGCTTCACACTCACAAACTGGTTGTTGCACAGTTGTTCACTTGAACCAATATCTTGTTTAGAGAAAGTGTAGCAGCCGGTGAAGTGCCCCATCCAATGTTTATCTTAGCATCATGTCTCGTGTAAACCATTACTAATATATTGAGTATCTGCAGAGTCCCAGGAGAAGAGCCTCCCACTCTGACACGTTGTTAAACAACACAGAGATAAGTGTTAGTGTAAACAGTGCAGCATTTGGCCTGTTGCTGGTGTTCAGTCCCCTTTCCTCTGCTCTGTGTTACAGAATCTGCAGGACATGGATGAACGTCGGACGGTGAAGCTGGGCGAGACATACCGGAGCTTTGCCGAGGCGGAGCGGAGAGTCATTCCCATCGTCTCCAAATGTCTAGAAGGAATGGTTTCTGCCGCCAAAGCTGTCAATGAACGAAAGGTGTGTAGCAGAGTCAACTGGTACTAAACATAGGGGGAGGGATGTGGAGAAGGATGAGAGGAAGGCTTGTTGAGGAGAAGTTCATGTCACTTGTTTGATATCCCCCCCCCTCTATTTGAATCCCGCGTCCCAGGATTCGGCCATCGTCGTGGAGTCATTTAAGTCCGGCTTCGACCCCCCTTCCGACTTCCCCTTCGAGGACTTCAGTCAGAATCTGAGCAGAACAGGTTCAGACGGGACCATCAGCAACACGCCCAAAGGAGAACGAGACAGAGACGGAGCCCCGGGGCCGAGATCGGACCCAAAACATCAGATGAGCAGAACCAAGAACAAACTGTGGCGGTTTGGGAAGAAACCAAAGGTACAAGGAGATAACGATGCTTATAATTTAAGTCAAGACTTCATGTTGATCTTATTAAGCAGAACCGTCACAATATGTTCCTCATCTACTGAACAGTGTTATAGTTTCACATTTATATGACTTATTATGTACAAAAACAGAATGTGATGTAATTTTTGTCAGTGTAAATCTATTACATGAGATTAAGTTTT